CCACAAGGTCCTGTACTTGCACCCGCCGTCTCTTATTTATGATGGTCTCTCCAAAACTGCTAACCTCATTTTATCGATGATTCCAACCTCTGCTGCTCCACCTCCTATCGGATTATTCGCTGTGCCCAAACCAACGTCGATCGTTACCTTAGGGCTGTTGTCACTGATCTCTGGTCTCGAACACATGTCCTGCGGCAGTGACAATCACGTTGCATCCAATGCTTATAAAATATCTTTCACTTTATCTAAAACACCATCTGTTATCCCCCCTCCCACTAACCTTTTGATTCAACCCAACTGTATTCCACAGAGCTTATTTCTCATCTTGGATTACCTATAACTTCTTCCTTATGCTGGGCCCCTTTCAAATCTTTGTTCCTCTTGCGCAAGGGTGGCTTTTATTCCGTACGCTTCCTTATCCCAACTCATCTTCTCCTACTCGAATGTGCCTGTTCTTCAATACTGTATTCACGCCTGAGGTAGGGCTTTGACTTCTCCTTCCCTTCTAAAAGCCATCCGGTTGACTGATAATCCTTCCATAATCTCCAATCTGCAGACACTAGCCCATTATCGGGCAGCTGTTTCACTGGCCCTTATCTAAGGTTAATACTTTGATTTGCCTCGGCACTGTCTCTTCCTGTAACTTTTGTCCGCATATCTCGTACACAGGCACCTAGCCACCTCTTTCAGATTTCGACCAACAGATATCGTACTTTTCTACTCTAATTTTTTCCCCCGAACTGCACAGTTGTGGAACCCCGTCCCACTCTATCTTCCCCTCAACTTACGATTTCACACTCTTTAAAAGTATAATCCATAAGCTGGATCTTACGGCAGTGTCATCCCCTTTACAATATACACTTTGACTATGGGGATTTCAATTTGTACTGTAATTCACACTGTATAATTAAATAAATAAAAGTAAAAACAAAAAAGACTCACCTATTCCTAGGTTGGTATTCTGTGTACAATTTACGTCATGAAATGAGTATTTCTAGTCTTGCTGCTGCAGCAACCACAATAAACAAAGTAGAACCCATTATTATTATTATTATTATTATTATTATTATTATTAGTAGTAGTAGTAGTAGTAGTAGTAGTAGTAGTAGTAGTAGTAGTAGTAGAGCCACATAACGGTGGGGTGAACGCCATCAATTGTGACTGATTGCCTTTCGCTAAACAAGATGACTTATTCACTCATTTATTTACTTTCTGGTTGTTGCGTCGCAGCATCCCGGCGTATGAGAGAACACCTGACAAATTAAAATAGGAAAAGGTCAACGAAGTGCGCAAACACAGTCGTGTGCCAAATTCACTGGACTCCTCCTTGTGTTTGAAAAAGAAAACTACCAAGAATGTGAAATCATGAAGCAATCCGCATCTTATTTGATAGGAAACGAAAGAATTACACCAATGCTTTCAAAAATTCAAATGCGATTTTATCGACATCTAATATTTGAAGGATATCATAAAACCAAGGTACCTAATTAAAAACGTACTTTAGTAGTAATCTCCACCTCATTGGGAAGCGTCCCACTGAGTGCTTTCAATCCATGACAAATTAGATCATTTAAAGAAGAACCGGCAATTTCTTCGAGATGACGTTCTAGGTAAGTTCTCGCCGACTGTGATCGGGATCCAATGGCGATGCATTTGCAATCGTAGGCATTTGACGAAGGGCACTGAAGTTAAGGGCGAAAGAAAAGGCAAACTGATTACTCTGTACGAAAGCAGTTCACGCACATGTGGTAACATCAACAGTGAAAAGAAGATTATCAGTGCCCTATGACTCTGCGGAATCTGAATATTAACACCATAGATGCGCAAAACTCTTATTACATCAGTCCACAGAAAGTCACCTGCAACACTGGGTCCATGAAGTAAGATACAGTCATCCCATGAAGGAACTTGAAAATTCGTCTATATCCAAATAGCTGAACAACCAGAAAATTAACCATTCTTGGGCCACGAATGCGGTCAAATCTGACAGAAACTTCAACATAACATAATTAAAATGCGAGTAATGGAGGATTTGGTTAAATTTCAAATGGGAATTCGTCGTGTATATAGCAAATGAAGCGTGAAGTGAAAAGCTCGGAAGCACTTTGTAATTTGAAATTTAACCAAATCCTCCATTACTCA